AAAGTTTATTTAAAATTAAATTATCATTTCCTATATGAACACGTGAAAAGGTTGAGTGTAGGCCACTTCTATTAATTACAAGCGATCTATAACTGATTGTTAGCATATCTTGATTGGAGAAGGTCAGATCCGACTTGGCAAAATATACAGCGCTATATAATTTTTATAAGAAGATTTTCGACAACTATTAATTTTGAAATATTTATCAACTTCATAAAAAATCCTTTAAAATGAGTCCAAACACGACATATTTAACTTTGATATTAATGGAGATACAATCACTTCCGGTTTGAAACGTCAACGTCAATTTTGACATATTTGTCATCTTCATTAAAAAATCTTTAAAATGAGTCCAAAGATGACGCATTTATCTCAAAAAACAAAAAAGTTTGAATAAAAAATATTAAACCCGAAGTTAGCAACAATGAATATAGCAATTTAATTTTTAAATATTAACATCAACCTTAATTTTTTATTTTTTTTTTATTATATTTTTGTTTTTGTGACAAATATTAAGACATTTTATAAAAATTAAAAATATGTCAAAATGACATTGACATTTCAAATCGGAAGTCGCTCATATCTCGAGTAATAATGGAATTAAACATATACTGTTTGGACTCATTTTAAAGGATTTTTCACGACGATTACAAATATGTCTAAATTGACGTTGACATTCTTAACCGGAAGTTGACCATAACTTCATTAATATTGAAGATAAATATGTCGTGTTTGTACTCATTTTAAAGGATTTTTAATGAAGATTACAAATATGTCAAAATTGAGGTTGACATTTTAAACCTGAAGTTAGTTATATTATAGGATATTTCACATTTATTAAAAAAAAATCGTCGATTTTGAAGCCACATGATGATTCTTGAATTTTTTCCAAGTTTCTTAATATTTTTTTAGTTAAAGAACGTCCTTAAAGTTTAACCTGTAAAATTGCACTGTTTACCGAATTTTATTTTTCTAAGACAAACCATATTTTAGCCCATATTCTGATTAAATTTATGTCGTTCTTGAAGGTCGAGGCAAGGTCATACACTGCCCATACACTCTATATGGCCAGCTAGCACGCTAAAAATCACTAACTAACATTCAAACCATATAGTCCCACCTCATTATAATGCCAAAAATAGACTATAGCATTGATTCATAGCAAAAATAGAAATTTTGGTTTATAGCATTGTGATTTTAGCATCCCGGCTAATAACTATTTAATAGAATAGACTACAATGCCTCGGTTACAAGCGACCTCAGATACTATTTCTTTGAGGCTATACATTGCAACAGCTCAGCTAATATTTTTGCAATGGAGTTGATTATTGTGCTTCGGCAGTAAGCAACCTGTCTCTTAATACTGTAAATTATAACGTCTCGGTTACTATCTCCTTATTGAAGTAGACTCCAGGGCCTCGGCCGCAAGCAACCTCGCCCACTACCTCTTTAACACTGTGCATTGCAGTGTCTTGACCAATATCTCATCAATGGAGTTGATTATTGTGCCTCACCCGCAAGCGACCTCGGTTACTGTCTTTTTAACACAATAAATTATCACGTCTCTGTAAATATTTCAATAGTCAAGCAGACTCCAGGACCTCGGCCACTACCTCTTTAAGAAGTTCATTATTGTGCCTCGGCCACAAGCGACCTCGGCCAGTATGTTAGCCAACATTTCTTCAATGTAGTTTAATTATTGTGCCTCGGCCATTACCTCTTTAAGTCTGTGCATTGCTGAGTGTCTTAGCCAATATTTCTTTATTAATTAAAATAATTCATCAATTAAATCAATTAAAATTCTTACAATTATGATAATTGTAAAAATCAAAATCGTTTAAAAGATTCATCGATACAAAATCTAGTTTAATTATTAGATATTAAACTAATTTTCACTTTACCCGTGGAAAATCTATGAAACCGTTTTAAATACGTCCCGGTTTATTCCGGGTGTTTATTCCCCGTTGGTTGAGACCCCGTAATTATCGTTCGGTTCGAGGATTTATGAAAAATGGATTGTGTGAACTGGTGCAAGAGTCTTTTCGGCTCAATTATTAAACCCGGGTTCGGTTTTAAATCGTGCCGTATATGTGATATACGTTTTCCTCCTCAATTATTTATAATTCGGAACGGGGCGAAATCACTAATTCATCGCGTTTGTACTTCTTCCCCGTACGAAGTCGCCGTAAACGTTGTCAAAGAAGGACAAGTTTTCTGTAAGTTTAGAAAAGGGCGGAAAAAGAAAATTCGATGTAATTTGTCTCCGGAGAAGTTTTTTTTTACTTCTAACTAATTCAGCGATATATTTGGAATTATTTTATGAAGAGTAATTATCCCTAACCACACCTGCAAAGTTGCAAAGAAAAATGACTTCCACACGTGGCTGCTTTTCTTGGATACTCTCCAGGTGGCTTAATTTAATTTAATTTCTTTTTAATAAAAAAATTTTTTGTCTCGAAAATGTTCGAAGAGGGCGAATGAAAATAAAAATAGAAATAAAAATAACAGAAACGTTTCCTATTTATCACGGTCTGCCGCGTTTATTCGGTTACCGACGTTCGCCTGCAGCAGTAATCTAATTTGCCGACCTCATAACTGCAGCGGGCGCAGGTTTTTGTCGAGGACCATCGAGGATATTTGAATTGGCCGAAGATTTCCTCGACGAATCCCAAAAACCCGGCGCGGAATTCCCGCGCTATTACGAGTTTTCAACCGAGAGATAAAGTTACGAGTAGGTACATAATTTCGTTCTTGTAACTCTCTTTCCTCGATTTTCCTTCGATTTCGATGAACCACATCTTTTAGTTCACTTTGTGGTTTAACCCGTCGAGTATTACCCAACATATGTGGGAAAAAAACGTTACAAACGCTAATTACTAAATAATTACATCGCTTTTTTTGTTTTGTTTCTAGATATTTCGGTGTGAAGACCCCACGATTATTTTGGATGTGGTAAGTTTTAAAACAATGCGTGAAAAAAAAAATTAATTGATAACGAATATTAAATTTAAATGTTTTGAGGGGATTATTAGCCGAATTCAGGGAGCTGTAACTTTAGTCGCCCAACTTTCCATTAAGCTATTTTGAATTTTGAAATGTCAGTGTATAAATATTTCTTAATATTTTGATTAAATAGGGCACTACACTGAATAACAAAAAATGTTTCAAATAAAACCTGGTTGAAATTAGATTATTAACAAATTTTATTAAGAAAATTTTCTAATATTCTTATTAAATTACGCTCTACACTGAATCACTAACTTTCTAAAATTTCAATTAATGATTGTATCGAAAAATGTTTCAAATATAAGTTGTTTGAAACTAGATTCTTAACAACTTTTCTTAATAACATTATTTGATATTCTCATTAAATAGGGTTCTACACTGAATCACTAATTTTCAAAAATGTCAAATATTGATTGTATCAAAAAATGTTTCAAATAAAAGTTGTTCGAAATTAGATTCTTAACAACTTTTCTTAATAACATTTTTTGATATTCTCATTAAATAGGGTTCTACACTGAATCACTAATTTTCAAAAATATCAAATATTGATTGTATCAAAAAATGTTTCTAACAATACTTGCTTAAAATTTGATTCTTAACAAGTTTTCTTAATAACATTTTTTATTATATTCATTAAATAGAGCTCTACACCGAAACACTAATTTTCAAAAATATCAAATATTCATTGTATCAAAAACTGTTTCAAATAAATGTTGTTCAAAATTAGATTCTTAACAACTTTTCTTAATAACATTTTTTGATATTCGCATTAAATAGGGTTCTACACTGAATCACTAATTTTCAAAAATATCAAATATTCATTGTATCAAAAAGTGTTTCAAATAAAAGTTATTCGAAATTAGATTCTTAACAAGTTTTGTTAATAACATTTTTTGATATTCTAATTAAATAGGGCTATACACTGAATCACTAACTTTCAAAAATTGCAATTAATGATTGTATCGAAAAATGTTTCAAATAAAAGTTGTTTGAAATTAGATTCTTAACAACTTTTCTTAATAACATTTTGTGATATTCTCATCAAATAAGGTTATACACTGAATCACTAACTTTAAAAAATTGCAATTAATGATTATATTAAAAAATTTTTCGAATAAAAGTTGTTTGAAATTAGATTCTTAACAAATTTCCTTAATAAATTTTTTTGTTATTTTTATTAAATGTGGTTCTACACTGAATCAGTGATTTTCAATAAACGGTAATTATTGATTGTGTCGAAAAAGGTTTCAAATAACAGTTGTTTAAAATTAAATTCTTAACAATAAGAAAAAAGAATTAAAGGATATTAAATTAAAATGTTTTGAGGGGATTATTAGTCGAATTGGGAGAGGGTGTAAAATCCCCCACCTCTCCACGAAGCTATTTTGAAATGCCAGTGCAAGTAGAGAATGAGCCATGTGAAATTTTTAATGGCATTTGGCCGACAATGGACGGTAGTTCGCTTGGTTAACACTCACTCTATCTAATCTAAATGTTACGCGGAGATACTAAAGGACGATTTAAACTTCCAATAATTTTTTTTAGTTAAATTATTTTTGTGCGGTCTTGTTCATAAACCATTTCAAAAAGACAATAGATACGCGGTCCCTAACGCGGTCGTATCTCTTCGTTCGGCGGTAGGTGTGGTCCTAAACATATGTACTGGGTCCGGATAATAATATATACAGAGATAAAGCTACATAATAATAACTTGACCGGGCCGTATATTTTCGCCCAAGAACGACGGACGGCGGCGTAGGTGCAATTTACTTACGGCACCGCGTATATACCTTTATACGCTTATTGCTATGGAATAGAGCAAAACATCGAGTTCGTAACGTTTTATTAATAATTCCGCGCCTATTCCCCCGACACAAAGCGCGTCTTTCTTTATACATACCATCCGAGTTACATCCGCCTTGTATTCTATCTACCAACGCAACAATTATCCCATTAATACCAATAGATATGCAAATTTAATGATTTAAACTTACCTTAATTTTCTTTTTTGATTTTTTTTTGATTTATGGTTAAACATCGTTTAAAGTCGTGAGATAACACGCGCATTATGCCATATACCGTGGGCATCCAGAGAGCCCAAACATGTGTCCGAATCGTTCTAGCGTGAACTTGGTTGTTTCGTTCGCGAAAACACGTTTCAAACGTGGAGCTTTCGCCTGTATCTCGACTCGGATTACCGCGCCACGAAATAAAAACTGGAGACGGCCTGCTCTTCCTACAATAAACGTCTGAGTACGCCGCTCTCTTGAATCGTGTTCCCGTGGGCGAACCTAATTATCATCCGTCCACAATCCCTTAAGCGTAGGTGCTTCATGTGTGTTAATCCGGCTGCAAAAGAAAAAATTAAATAAAAATTTTTCATCAATAAATACTTAATCGTTTCGGTCATATCGTAAATTATAACCGTGCATAATTGGGGCAATTCGTAACGAAGAAGTCGCTCTCTACCTTCACACACAATGCACATTATTATTATAGTTTCTTCTATATGGGGTTATATCAATTTTTTGTGTGAACGATAATGATATCGGGAGACGGAGAACTTACCTCGCAAAAAAGTAATTATCGGGCTGCGAGGCGCGCGAGGGGTTTCCTTTGCTTCCTCGACTTTTTTGTTGTTGTTGCCTTTTCGAATGCATGCTCTACTAATTCCCGAGAGATCGAAAGACGCAGATGCACGACGCACAAAAAACTTAAACATCATCGCTTCAAATTTAATTCTAACTTTGTAATAAATATAATAAAATTATTTCTTTTCGTCTAAAACAATAAAGTTAGGTTATATTATCTGTCAAAAACTTGATTAATTAATTTAAACCAATAAACTCACTTCGCATCGTTTTAAACCGCCAGAGATAAATGATTTAACTCCTTAAAAACGTATTTCGATTAAATTAATCCTTTTTTAACGTAAAATTCGCGTATTTTATTAACAATAATAAACGATTTAAAACGTCAACAATACGATTCAATATGGTTGATTATCACGAGATGGCGTAACTAATCGTTTAAATTTTTTTTATCAACTTAATAAAAAATGTTTAAAAAATTACTTTAAACAATTAATTTGAGTGTTGATTTGAATTATGATGAGCTTTTTTATTAATTCCACTATTTTTTTAAATAAATTTTTAATTGATTTAAATCGTAAAAATTACGTTTTCACTTTTACCGGGGGTTACCGCTAGATGGGGTTAGTAAAAATTTAAAAATTTCGCGATTTTTATAAACATAATTATTGATTGTATCAAAAAATGTTTCAAATAAAAATTGTTTAAAATTAGATTCTTTACAAATTTTCTTAATAACATTTTTCGATATTTTCATAAAATAAGGTTCTACACTAAATCACTAACATTCAAAAATAGTAAATATTGATTNTTTGAAATTATATTCTTAACAAATTTTCTTAATAATATTTTTTGATATTTTCAGTAAATGGGGCTCTACACTGTTGCATTGTATCAAAAAATGTTTTAAGTTTTGATATTTGCTTTACACTATATAGATTTAATTGCGACGAATACCATTTTACCATCTTCGTTAATGGTTCGGCGACGATAAAAAAAAGAAATTCATTTTTAACTTTTATTTTTTAGTTAATGGATGCTAATTGCGGTATCTCATTTCTTAATCGATTCGTATTGAGTTTATATTAAAAAAATTTTTCTAAATAAAAAAATATCACTCCTTGACGCTGAGAAATTTACCCTCCCCGTACCGCCACTCGCCTCCTCTCATTACCGCGCACCCATGCGAGAAAAACGCCACCCTCTCATCCCCCCACTTCGCCTTTTCACCCTTTTCTTCTTCTTACCCTTTTCTCGTCGCCGTCGTAGGCCCGGACCGGGAGAGAAAAAGGGGTCTAAGACAAGCAGAAGGAAATGAGTGTAAGGAGCGTGACGCGGGGTGTTGGGAAGAGCGGTGCTCGGGCTACCAACCCTTCTATCCCCCCTAAAAAACGAGCTTCGTACGCGTTCCGCGCCGGGATCGATTAAAAATTCCTCTCGATTAATAATTGAGAGGCTGCCTGGTGCCTTCTTTCTGCGCCCCCTACCCTGCATCGAGGGCCCTTCTCTTCGCCGAGTTACGGGGGAGAACCCGAACAACCCCTTTTACGCGAAAAAGGGGTAAGAAGAGAGAGTATATCTGATGGAAGGCAATTTTTTTTTTATTGTTTTTCTCTCTATATTTAATTTTTTTTCATTTAAATATATGAAGTTATATATATTTATTTATATATATAATGTTCTTATTTATACTCAACAAAAGACACAAAAACGAAACAAAAAAAAATAACAAAAAGAGTTTTGAACAATGACGAAATTAAAAAAAAGAAAAAAGCGGGGGATGGAGGTTAAAAGGAGGCTTGAAAGGGGGATGAGAAAACGGGGGATGTGTTCTTTTTTAGTTCTTTTTCTTGAGGGGAGGCGGCGTACGTTCTTCGCAAGAATTTACATGTAATTAATGGGAAGCGGGGAAAAATCAACGGGACGCAGATGTAAGGTATTGCGCGAGGGGGTTGGACGGGGTGAAAAAGGAGGGGGATCTTTCGTTAATTTAAACCGGGAGAAAGAACTCGGGAATAAGTTTTATTATTGCGATTTCTCTTCGCGGCCGACGCGCCGCCGAATTCTGCGCCAAACGATTTTTCTAATAATCTTAATTAATCTCGAATTTATTTTGTCGTTTTTATCAAAAGGGTCGCGTTTCGTTCCGTTCGGTGGCGGCACTACAAACGCAAGTATGCACAACAAAAAGTTAACGGTTAGTGTTACCGAGTTCCGGTATAAACTCGAACTTTTCACCATAATCCAGATTCCACAGTGACCTTAACAATTTTTCATTTCTCTTCTTTGTTTTACCACCAACAATTTCGTTTGGTTACTACAACGTCTCCCTAAAGTATGTTTTGCCTTTGACAAAGCTTTTTACTTCATCGTTATATCTCAATTCGTTCTTGAGTTATATTTTTTTTTTATTTTTTATCATTCGGGTAAGTTGAGTTTAAAAAATGATGACAACGATGTTTATGGAAGTTAAGAAATTGTTTTTGGCACATTCAAACTTGATTAAATTTCCTTTAAAATACATCTTATTTCAACGTTATATCTCAATTCATTTTTGAGATATGATTGTTTTAAAATTCGTTGATGTTGATGTAGTTTTATTTAAAAAATCATAACATCAGTGTTCGTGGAAATTAAGAATTTATTTATGGCACATTTAATCTTGATTAAATTTACTACAAAACATTTTTTATTTCATCGTTATATCTCAATTGGTTTTTGAGATACGATTTCTTAAATTTCAATTCGTCAAATTTCTCAAACTTGTCGAATTACTTTTACGATTTTTATGACCGTTATTTATGCTGATGATAAGAAATTTTCTTAGTTACTATTTATATTGAGAAAATATCAAACATTTATTAAACAAAAAAAATCATTCTGGAACACGCTGTATAATCATGATTTAAAACCACCAAATTCTTATAAAAAATTAAAAATCCTTCAAAATGAGTCCAAACACGACCTAATTATCTCTAAAAACAACCGAGATACGATTATTTTAAAAAAGACGATCGTCGATTGTTTTTTATGTTTACTTTATCGTATCTTACACATTTTTAAAGATAACATAGTCGTGTTTGGTGTTATTTTCAAGCATTTTTGAGTGTGATTAAGAGTTTTTGATTCGTTTTTAAAAAATCANTTCAAAAATATCAATTAATGATTGTATCGAAAAATGTTTCAAATAAAAGTTGTTTTAAATCAGATTCTTAACAAGTTTTCTTAATAAATTTTTTTAATATATTTATTAAATAGCGCTCTACACTAAATCACTAATTTTCAACAAATAGTAATTCTTGGATGTATCGAAAAATGTTTCAAACAAAAGTTGTTTGAAATTAGATTTTTAGCAATTTTTCTTAATAAAATTTATTAAAATTTTTATTAAAAAACCGCTACACTGGTACACAAATTTAAAATGAAATAAATATGTATACTAAATTCTCAAGTTTTACGCATTTTTATATTTACTTTATAAATAAAATTAAAAAAATCTTATAAATCTATAAAATATCACTTTTAAATCAAATGTTGACCATAATTTTTGTCAACTAACTTTTAAAAAATATTAATTATGATGTATAACATATGAAAATTATTAAATATTTTTAATCTGCTTAAAAAATGCTTTAAAATGAGTACAAACTCGATGGGGTTAGCTCAAAAAACAACAAAGATACAACCAAAAATTAGTCTAAAAACAATCGACGATCGAAATTTTAAAAATTCCCCTATCTCCGTTGTTTTTGAAGAAAACCTAGTCGAGTTTGTGTTCATTTTAAAGGATTTTGAATGTAGATTAATATTTTTTAATAAAAAACTTACTTTGATTGCGAAAATATTTTGAAGCTGGCAAATAATTGTTACGAAATCGCCTCACGCGGTGTGTACATACGAACATTCGTAAATCGTGTCTTCGCCAGATACAATTGCGCAACGGAAAATGATACAAGACCAACACGAAAAAGAGAGAACAAGAAATTACACGTTTTTCCCGTTCCCCTTTCTTGTGTTGTCGGAAATTGCACATGCAACAAACAACGTCAATCTTTTTCCTCCCCGGACGGCGGACGAGTTAAGGGGGCGAACACGTTACCTGTTTCTGTAGCTCTTTTGTGGAAGAACGTGTTCGGAAAGGTGATGTATGACACGCCAAACGATGGCGCCGGTTTAACCCCATGACGTCATAGAACAATACAGCAATTTTAGTTTGAGTTTAAGTATGTAGAAGAATTCTACCTGCTTATTGTTTATATTATTGCTGCATATCTAAAATTTACGCAAAAATTCCATAAGACAAAGTTTGAAGTTGGGAGAGAGAAAAACTCTCTCAACTTGGAGGGTTGATTGCGGAGTAAGGAAAGAGGAGAGTCTTAGAGAGAAGCCCAGAGGAGAAGAAGAGAGCGTCTCCCTTCCTCACACAGTCTCATACGCGACTTGATAATTAACAAAAAAATCGTTATCGTGGCTACCCGTGCCCGGATGCATAAACCGTGGATCTCTCCCCTCCACCGCCACCGCCGCGAAACGTGGAGCCGCCCCTCGTCGCTGGTCCCGCGTCGTGCATCAAGGGAGGCCTCGAGCCTTGATTGTCATTAGAAGGGAGTTTTAATAAGAAAAGTATTGATGTTCGCCTTTTAATGCACGTACCCCTCCACCGATATCCCCTTCCCCCCCTCTACACCGCGTTTTTCGTCTTATACAGGCCTTTTTCTTACCGTGAGCTTCGCGAAGGGGGCGCTCACCCCACATACGGCCGCCCCGGCCGCCTTGATTAACATCGCGGGGGCGTCCTAATAAGAAAGTATTGATTTTTTAGGATTTTAATTTATGCATGTGGCATTCTTAAGGAAAAAGCAAGGGGAGAAAGAGGATTAGTAATCGCGAGGGGTGAAGAAATTGTACTTAAGGGATTTTTTTTTATTTAAAATTTCTCAAAATTTAATGTTTGTTGTATTATTCAAATATTATTCACACCTTATTGTCGATTAAACCACGAGACTGTTTTAGATGTTGCATATTTAGTAATCGTCTTCATGTATATTCACACGAAAATTTCGGAGGAGACGGGTTCGCTTCAAATTTTAATTGGTGACCGAACACGTATGCACACTCCAC